TTCCTGTTTCTACCATCCTTGAATAAATGGTTCTTTCGATCTATGAAACTTACCTTGCCAATAGTCAGCTTCTTTCTAAAGGTTGATTTTAGTTGTTTTTCTGATTTCTGGAGTTTAGTACAACCAGGACAATCAACATCATTAATAGTTTCTGGACAGATAAAATGACTTAGTAGTTGGTCTAATGTTAGAGAACCCTGAAAATTTTACCAAAATCTGATTAAAATGCAGATCGAGATGTAATGGTTTCAGATTATTTTTGGGGGTGATTCTACTCACCATCCATGATCTGAAGAAATACTTCTTGATATTGCTTTTGACTTAATAGAGTAAAATCAATCCTAATTTATGCCAAGCAAAATAAAACAAAGCACAGTGGTAGCACCATAGGCACAATCCTCTAATTGAGGATATAAAGGGGTTTTCTCCATGAAAATATTTAAAAATAGACTCGATTTAATGCATTTTAACATATTATTGGGGAAAAAATATGTATAAATTTCATATTTTGAATTTTATTTGAAATTAAATGGGGGTACAACTTAATTTCAAGGAGCTCAAATGCGATCCTTGTACCCCAACTGGCGCCGCCACTGTTGGAGATGACAAAACAAGTCCATGAGAAACAAAATATCTGATTATTCTAACAAAGCCACGATAGGTTGAATGAATAAAAAATACTTACCCAATATACATTAGGAAAAGATAGTGATAAACTATCAAAGCTATCATATTTAACAGGATATCTATATTGACATTGTGTACATTCTAACTGACTAGCTAATAATCCACGGAAAGGATGATCTATATCACGATGTGGTAAGACTGGTAACTTGCCTTCACTGCGTATTCTGGCCACACCTTCTGGTTGATACTTATTTCCAGGATTCTATCAAAATATAGACAAATAATAATGGGTACAAATTAAACCTATCAATTGTTTTGGACTTTGCACTCTTGGGGTAAATGAAGGCATGCAGTGTCCAATGAGGATAGTCTATAACTTATCATATAGGAAACTTAAGTTCATAAGTTGGCGACCTTAAAGATGGGTTCCCTTATTTTTTTTTATAAAAATGAAAATGCTAATACTTATATGAATAGAAAATATATGTGTTCTAATGACTTGGAAAAATACCAGTTTGTCTCACATGTCCACAAATAATTCATAATTAGCTAACTTAGAAGAGAAATACAAGCAAAATTCCAATAGGTGACCAATCAAGAAAGGTCAAAAAGTCTTTTTTTGTTTATCCAGACTGTACATACATGGACATTTATGATTGGTTAAAACTCTTAATTATGCAATAAGAACATAATGATATGATTAAGAATACATAATAATTAATAATCAATAGTTTGCTAAATTTGACACTACCTGTAAAGCCTGTATATCAAATAAAGAAACAACACTAGGATATCTTGATGTTTCTTCCTCCAATGTCTGTGTTAATACATGAAATAATTCATGACTATCCTGAAATACAAATTTACAATGCTATATATGAAATAAAGTTTATGGTTGTATCCCAAATATGCTTTTGACACAAGAACAGTATTCAGATAAAAACATATTTTAACCATTTTTGTATCAAATCTTCAAGTCAGTGAAATGTTCAACCAAACATGATGAGTGGTTTCCTTCGACTGCCACATCTCAATAGAAGAATATAATATATTATGTAGTTATTATTTACCTGTTCATCTGATGATATCATCCATCCTCTACTTCTTAATAATGTTAACATCTCATCAGGACAATAAGGATCTGTTTCACAGATACCATCATTATTTAACACTACAAAAAAAATGTGATATTCTCATAAAAGTGATAAAGGACAGTTAGATGATTTATCATTCTTCTCATAATAATATTTGTGGAAAAGGGATCGAGACAGTTGTCTTGTACAGTTTAATTAAAATTAGACCAAACTTTCATTCCTTTTTTTTATTAGCTTTTATTTTTGATATAGCAACTACAGTTTAGGGCTAAAACGACAGCCCTCTTGAACATTCTATCAAATTAACCCTTTGACCCTTCATCAGGTTAGATAAGAAGGCTAAGGCTAAATTGACGAATGTTCAAGAGGGCTGTTGTTAGTCCCTAACTGAAGTTGCTATATAAAAAATAAAAGCAAATAAAAAAAACTGAACGAAAGTTTGGTATAATTTTAATGAAACTGTTGTCTGGTAGATAACTATGTGTAATGGACAAAAAAAAATACCATCATGACAGTTGTCTATCTAATCTTAACACCTCAAATATCAATTACCATAATTACAAGTGCAGATATGTAACTGACCAATGAATTCATTTCCCGAGATTTGGGAAGCGTTTCTTATCCAGAAAAGAAATGAATCTGTAACCCATTCCGGAAATTTACTGGAAGTAGTACCAGTACTTCTCATAATCATGTATTTACTTACATCTTAAAATCTTCAATATTGATGTTCCAACAAAGTTTTGAATAGAATTATCTGGTACATATCGTGATAAGAAATTGCCTAACCAGATTGATATTGAGGGACAGGCTGACCATGATTGTAATACTGAGTTTAAAAAACATGTGTTTCCTAAGTTAACCAATCCAGGACAATATTCTGAAATGAAAAGATTAAAGATGACATCCTCTAATTATGATTATGGCTTTCTTAAACAAAGATAAGAGTATCGTTTGTTACAGATAGTAATTGAAAAAAAACAGCAAATAGGTTTCAAGTTTCTGTCAAAACTGACGACTGTCAAACAACGGATCTTGAATCTTGGATACTGCTTGTCCTGCCTTCTTAACTATGCCTACTAGTTACTACACAATCATTTAATTCAAGAAGTTTTTGATAAATGCAACAATGACAACTCTCATGATCTAGCAAACAGCATGATTGTCAACTCTCATGATCTAGCAAACAGCATGATTGTCAACTCTCATGTAGCAAACAGCATGATTGTCAACTCTCATCTAGCAAACAGCATGATTGTCAACTCTCATGTAGCAAACAGCATGATTGTCAACTCTCATCAAGCTCAAAACAACAATAACATGCTTGTCAACTCTCATCTAGTAAACAGCATGATTATCAACTCTCATCGAGCAAACATGATTTTATTCATACAATCACATGCAACAGGGCACAAAGTATCTTACATTTAGTTTTTACAACTAGGCCTAATCTAGTAATAGGCAAGTAATAGGCAAATTTGGGCAAGGGCAAGGTCAACTCAAATCAATGAATAATTATTATTAGCAACCTGCAGTCTTTTTCTTCTTGTTTGAGGGGACTATAAATACATAGGAAATGATAGCTGTCACTGCTGCCACGCCGCCGATCCATAAAGATGGCCGCGAGAACATATTTCTTCCAAATAACTAATTTTTATTTCTTCATCACAAACTTTTGTATTGTGTTTTTACATCAGCCCACTGGTGTTTTCTAAATTTTTACTTAGAGATGCTGTAAAAAACGAAAGAACTGTAACTCTTGTTATTGCATAATTTACCGATGCAAACTGGACGTTCTTAGGCATATAATAAGTGTTTCACATGAAATTTCGTGAAAGAAATATGAAAAATTGTATTTATGAGGAAATAAACGCATTGGCAGTGTCGTTCATGGGGATTTCATAATTTACAGTAACCAATATGGAAAAGTCCATACATTTTTTTCAAAAGTGAAACACTATGATTTAATGCAATAAAGTTGTATGTATTGATCGATTTGGTAAAAATTTATATTCATATTTTAGTTTTATTATGAATACGAACCACATGAAAATGGAAAATTGAGACATTTCAAAGAATATTTGATTTTTGATACTGCATTTTTATACCTGACCCCCTCTTATAAAAATGGAATATGTAATATAGGTCACCACTAGGCGGCGTAAAAATGTTTCTAAAACTGAAAGTAGACAAAATGTCAGCCACAGAAGAATTGAAAATAAAGGTAAGAGAGAAAAAGTATCCTTACAAAGTTTATTGATTATATTTTATAACAAGTTTGGAAAGCCAGGTCTGGTTGTGACTTTGAGATGACATGACAGGACAGAATAATTGAGAGTTTGCTGGTTTAGATTGATTTGGGAGTAGCTGCTGGGCATATTTAGATAGACCTGCTCCTACATATCGATGCTTTTACTGCAATTTAGTGCTGAGTCAACAATAAGTAGAACATAAGACCCTAAAAATAGTGTCATTTTTTTCAGTGGCTCAAATACATGAGTGGACTTAAAAAAGTTGGGGTTCTATTCCTCGTTTTTGACAGTACATGTTCATAGAGGAAATAAATTTACATTTGTTTGAGATTTCCAAGACTGCAATATTATTCAAAATTAACTAAGTGTAAATTATCATAGATTATAATGATAATAATAATATTATGAGACACTCAGTCAATCAAGACAGTCTCCCCTTGGATCGTTCTACTTACAACTACAATAACATATTTACAAAATAGTAACGTGATGAAAAAAAGTAAAATATCATGGGTGACCGCTTGAAACCTCATATAACGATATCTGACGCGGAATTACTTTTCGAGAAAAACACAAAAAACTATTTGTACTCGTATTTTGTTAAAATCTTTTTTATTATTTTTTTTACCGCTATACGTGATTGTCATTCTTGGAAAATATAAACCTCGTATAACAATTCGAGATCTCCGGACTATTGAACCAAAAACTCGTATAATAATACAGTATACAAGGTTTTTCATTTTCATCCGCAGAAAAGGAACATTGAACCTATGATAATATATTTTACGAGGTTTTAAATCTGACTGTTTGTATATGTGTTATTTAATTAGCGCTTTTTGAGTTATTTACAATCAAGCTAAGAATATGAGGATTTGATCACAAGATCCGTTCTTTTACGAGCTTTCGAAAAGTACCAAAAAGTCAAAATCACCAAATATGGCATATACGAGCTTTCAAGTGGTCACCCATGATATAATAATTAAAAGAACAGGTTTGCCATTCGTTGAACCAAATTTATCTTATCAGCTTGCTGTCAAAATTTGAGCCTTCAAATCCATAATTATCTGTGTTAGAAAGTTAAAAAGACGACTGTTATGGATTTTCGTACATTTCTAGTACTGCTGAAGACTATTTACGTATATTCAAGACCAAAATCAACCCTCCAAAATGATGCATTTCTCCCTTTGATACAAATATATTAAAATATAGTGTTAAATTTGTTATTTAGACACGTTCAATAACTAAGGAATATGATGTTTATTGGAATCACAACTTGGGGACTGGTGTCAGTGGTCCTGTCAGGTGAGTTCAGTATGAGTTCAAGATGATAAACTATATACATGTAGATATTTTTTCTTAATTCAAAATTATAGTTTAAAAATTAGTTTAAATTTAGTTTTATAAGATTTCTATTTTCTATGATTTCTGCTCTATAGTCTGTTTTCATCTTTCACCATTTTAACAACTTTATAAGGATTGTAGAGATTTTCTAAACTTTTTATCTGTATTGGTATAAATCGATTCTCGCATTGTCTGTTATTCACATAAATAAAAACTCTTAACCATTCCTTTAAATGTCTATATCCAAAATTAAGTATTATTTGTGCAAAGGACAAGGTGACCCAATATTTTTTCAAAACTTTAAACATCCTTTGATAGCCAGTCAGAGTAATTATAATTGGTGATAAAGCAAAACTGTTGGTTAAATGAAACAGTTCACCTTTCTTTTGCCAAACATCATGACAATATTGGTAGGCTATGATATAATAGACCTTCTTTCAAGGGGAAATTGAGATCAAATTTCACAGGTCGTTGAAAAATGTCAGATTGACAAAAAGCCCTGATTTGTAGCATTTGATTTAACTGTTTACTACCAAACAAAAAGGAGTACAAGTTCTTCCAATGTTCAAACTGTGGGCATCAAATTCACTTGAAGACTTAAAGATAATTGTGATATTTTTTATGTTAACGCACAGAGTTTATCTCATAATTCCTCTAATTTGGTCAATGCGGCATTTTTAAAATATTTTAGATTATGTACAGAGAAATCAAGTGGTAAAAAGTTTGCTGTGAAATGTTTGATTGACAGTTCTAAGTCTAGGAGAGAGGTTAAAATACATTGGTTATGTAGAAATCACAGGAATATAGTTGATTTACAAGATGTTTATTGTAATAATATTAGATTTCCAAAAGAAAAGGAACACAAGTAAGATATGTAAATGTTTTGATTTAGAGGGGGTTTCATCAATTTTTCCCGAAAGAAACCAACTTTGAATTAAAAAAATCTGGAACAAGGCTCAAGAAATATTTTAATCTGGCAACCAATTTCTATTCTATTTATCGCACAAAACAAAAATTTGGAATTTTTAACAAACAGGCCTATATTTGATATTTACTATAGACTTTATTCATGTGTAAGCCATATTGAGTTCAGAAAGAGATTCCTGACACAAAGAAATAAAGGTAACAAGGTGTCAATGCAGTAAAATTACCAACTTGACGTCTTCAGCCCCAGTAACTCAAGTAATCAGTAAAATCAGAGTTGATTAGTCTGTTTAATAACACTTCTGATGAAGTTTACCATGACAGAGTTCTGAGAAAGAGCAGTTTAAACCTTGCTGTTGATTGGGTGGTCAGCAACATCAATGAGGCAATACATCATTGTCTCAAATAAAACGAGGCATGAATAAGGTCTATTAAAAACAAATTATGAGACTTACTTTAAACACATACCTTTTACTTTATTGGAAATAGGTGACTATGAATTACAGTTACAGAAATATGTCAATAAAATTTATGATTTGAAGTATGTTAAATAGTTTTCTATCAGAAAATGAAATGAATGGAGTTTTACATTCTATGTTTTCAGAACTAGATTATTAGTGGTGTTAGAGTTAATGGAAGGAGGAGAATTGTTTGATGAAATTAGTAAACAAAGAAATTTTACAGAGAAAAGAGCAGCTGATTATCTTTCTCAGGTAAAGTTAAAAGAGTTTATCAAAATAAAAATGATCTTAAAGGGACAGGTAGGTTATTATTTTTTGACCAATCATACTTTAGTCTCACAAACAGGAATTTTTTAGCCAAGCCAATCAGTAATAATTTTCACAGCTCACTGTCGAAATTTGAGCCTTCAAATCCATGTGTGTCCAGAATTATCTGCGTTTGAATGTTAAAATGACGACTCGTCAATTTAAGATACTCTGTGATATATAGACAAGATTCCTAGTTTGAAGTATTTTTAAAGGAATTATTCGATATTTCTACATTTCTAGTACTTTTGAAGACTATTTACATATATTCAAGATATAAAATCAACTCTTCAAAATGGTGCAACTGTCCCTTTAAAATCATCTATACTTGATAACAAGTAAGAATATAGCACAGAGCCAATCTGATGTCAATGCAGTTGTAAATACTTGACATTCAAGATTTGAATAAATTCTTTAAATCCTATTCACATTAATTTTTCTCAAATGTGTTATACTTTATTCACGATTTTTGTTGATATATTATGGATTCCATTATTGGAAATAATACTTTTTAGAAATTCCGATGATTGAAGAAGTGCTAACAAATAACAATCCCTATCTGCCTAGAGTTCAGATGGTCTTTCAGTGTACTTTCTACTCGCATTGTCCTATCTGAATTTTGAACATGTTCCTAGATTTTTCACAATATATCCTTCAATTCTAGAAAGAGTACTGAATGTTTTTTTTCAGATTTGTCAAGCAGTACATCATTGTCATACATCTAATATAGCACATAGAGATCTAAAACCTGAAAACCTCTTACTGTCAGACCATTCCAATGTAAGTATATATTGAATGGACATACTTAATTAATTACTTAATCAGTGGCAACATCTAGGGGAAGACTGACTTAATAAAGCTCAATTTTAGCTACCTGTATCACTTTACAAAATGAAAATTTTATGCCTAATTCGACTAGCATAATTGACAGAGGATAAAGTTTTCCGGATGTAAGTTATCAGAGCAAATTATAATGTTCTTGCATACAGATCATAAACAGATCACTGCTTTATCTATCATATGTTGCCATTCACATCTGATAAAAGCCACATATGTCTGTCATTAGGACATTTTATATTAGCTGAGCTATCTAAGATTCGACTTGCCGTGCATTGATGTCACTTGCAGAAATAACATGAAACAAAACATCCAGGTCTGCGTTAAAATCAGATTGGATGAAAAAATGGAATCAAAATTGAAATTGTTCTGAAATCCCTACTCAATATGAACTATATTGAACTTTCAGAATGCTGTATTGAAGTTAACAGATTTTGGATTTGCTAAATTTGATGAAGATTTAAAAACACCATATTTTACTCCATATTATGTTGCTCCTCAGGTAACCTTTTTTACTCTCTGAGTCTGTGATAAAAATTAAAAGGGATCCAAAAAGGGATTTAAGCTTTTTGTATGTGCATCAAAGACACTTAAAGACTCTTCCCAAACCCCCAATGCCATTTTGTGACAAGGTTTACCAACTTGGTATCTTTTCTAGATATTCTACAAGGCCAATATTATTATTTATTTGGTATACATCAACAGGCAGATGACTGCTGATGGATAAGATTGTCTCTGCGGCCATTATTAGCTTTAAAGATTGGATTCCTTATTTTTTTTAGTGTCAAATTAAGAAAACTATTTGATTAATTGGTGTTTTTAATGAATTATCATGTATTCTTAATCATATCATTATGTTCTTATTGCATATAATTAAGAGTTAAAACCAATCATTAATATCTATGTATATACAGTCTGGATAAACAAAAAAAAATACTTTTTGACCTTTCTTGATCGGCCACTCATTGGAATTTTGCTGGTAATTCCCTCTTATTCAGCTAATTTTTGGTCATGTGAGACTTTTTCCATGTCATTAGAACACCTCTACTTTCTATTCATATAAGTATTAGCATTTCCATTTTTATAAATGAAAAAAAGAGAACCCATTTTTATGATTCGAAAAATAAATTGAACTTGAGTTCCTGTAGTAAAAGTATTGTTTAACTTTCAAGGCAGGGCATGATCACTCATCTGAAATTCTTGATCTTAACCTGCAACAGATACACTTAACAGACATCATTATATATCAGTACTGGAGTTATAATGATAATAAAGGATAATGAACTAATTGTTGATATTTTTCTGTATCTAGGTATTAAAGGCACATATAGAAAAAAGGAAGAAACAATCTGATCCTAGTTTAACACCAGGTTATCCCTGTTTTTATGATAAAGTAAGTACATGTACATCAAAAGGAAAAAAGGGGGGGTGTCCAAGTTTAGATTTTATCAGTCTGAAGAGTACACCCAAGTACGAAACTAGTCACTGATAACTAGGGATAACTGGTCGCCTCGCCCATTCTTATCTCGTATATACATGTACATCAACTAATCATTCTTCTGCTATATCCTGTCCCCATGAAAATGAGTTTGAGTTTTACATCATACTTTTCTACAACAGCAGCATTAGTCTGGTCTTTTTCGATATCTAACTATCAAAAGGCCTTCAACATACACAGCCTGTAGCACATTTTGGTTACTGGTTCATTGTCCCATCTGAACAACTAGATGCTTTTCCCATGCCATTCCTCTGACCTGCAACACTGAGCTAGGGAAACAGCGGAAAATAAAATGAAGTGAATGGAGTTTTACATCCTACTTTTCTACGCCATGTGGGCTAATGAAGACGGGCAACGCCATGCAGGGTGCAGTGAGGGAAATTTTGCTAGGACAGCGGCATTAGCCTGCTCTTTTTCGATTTCAAACTTTCGAGGAATCTTTAACGTGCAGAGTCTGTACACACAGGGACTCAGTTTATTGTCCCAGCTGAACGATTGGACACTTTTTCCATGTCAGCCTCTCTTACCCGCATCACTGAAAGGCGGGAAAAATATCAAAGGGAAACAGAGGAAAAAATCGTATTTTTTCCTTGGATTGAACCCTATATCCTCAGGTTTAGCAAGCACTGCTATGCAATTAACAGTTGAAGCTATCTTGATGTTGTTTTTTATTTGTTCATTATAGAGCTGTGATATGTGGAGTATAGGTGTTATTTTATACATCATGTTATGTGGTTATCCCCCTTTCTACTCACAAACCTCAAGCAGAAGTCTCAGTCCAAAAATGAGGAAAAAAATATTATCTGGCGTTTATGAATTTCCTGAAAAAGATTGGAATCACATCTCAGACTCTGCCAAAGATATTATCAGAAGGTAGGCTTGTTGCTATGGTAACTCAAGACTCTAAAAATTATACAGCATTCCTTCTTTTCATAGCAGTTATGTTGGTCTCACATGGATAAAACCTATGTTTGATGTTGGCCTAGACCAGGGCTACTGATTATGTTCTATTTTCCAGACATGTCTGACAGGCCAGAACAAATGATAGACTCTTTCGTACATATATGTTTGCTACGTGTCATTCAATGTTGCTAAAATGCAAAATTTGATTACAACTCACTAGTAAGACAAAAAAAATATTTGTTAATTGTTTTGATCATTGTTTGATGTACAGTCCAAGGAAATTCTTGCTTTTAGAGTGTATTCATATTAATAAGCTAGAAAAACGATTTCTTTGGTATTGAAGAACATTAGAATTCCTCATGTATCACTTATCATTTTTACCTCCTAGATTACTACATGTAGATCCAGCTTGCAGAATGACAATAGATGAATTGATAATACATCCTTGGATACTCAATCCTTCTGAAAACAAGTTAAACTCACCACATATACTAGCTGATAAAGTAAGTTAATTTATCACATATACTAGCTGATAAAGTAAGTTAATTCACCACATATACTGGCTGATAAAGTAAGTTAAACTCACCACGTGTACTAGCTGATATAGATAGTACAACAATAAAAACTCACCACATGTACTAGCTGATAAAGTAAGTTAATTCACCACATATACTAGCTGATAAAGTAAGTTAAACTCACCACATGTACTAGCTGATATAGATAGTACAACAATAAAAACTCACCACATGTACTAGCTGATAAAGTAAGTACAACAAGTTAAACTCACCACATATACTAACTGATAAACTAAGTTAGACTCACCACATATACTATCTGATAAAGTAAGTACAAGTTAAGTTCACCACTTATACCAGCTGATAAAGTAAGTTAGACTCACCACATGTACTAGCTGATATAGATAGTACAACAATAAAAACTCACCACATGTACTAGCTGATAAAGTAAGTACAACAAGTTAAACTCACCACATATACTAACTGATAAACTAAGTTAAACTCACCACATTTACCAGCTGATAAAGTAAGTTAAACTCACCACATATACTATCTGATAAAGTAAGTTCAAGTTAAACTCACCACATTTACTAGCTGATAAAGTAAGTACAAGTTAAACTCTCTTCATATACTAGCTGATAAAGTAAGTACAACAAGTTAAACTCACCACATATACTAACTGATAAAGTAAGTACAAGTTAAGTTCACCACTTATACTAGCTGATAAAGTAAGAACAAGTTAAACTCACCACATTTACTAGCTGATAAAGTAAGTACAAGTTAAACTCTCTTCATATACTAGCTGATAAAGTAAGTACAACAAGTTAAACTCACCTCATATACTAGCTGATAAAGTAAGTAACTATACCATTCTGATCACAAAAACCTACCTTTATACCAAGCAGAGTTTTCTGTATTTAGCATCCATATTAATTTTAGAGGTAAATTACTTATTGCTGAAACAAACTACTGTTCTGATAAAGATATAACAGAAAGAATAGGCAAAAATTTTTCAGCAGTTTGCGTCTTGTCAACAACTGTAAAATTAACCTCATTGCTAATCTTCATGGAGTCTCACTATCATTTGAGATCAACACCAAAAATTCCACTTTTAGACTGTTTTTATACGAATATTTCAAAATATATTAAGTAAATTGGCACATACATGTACTTCCATTTTAATGTTCTCATTTTCAGGATAGTTTAGAAGAAGTGAAATTAGTACATGGAGAAAAATTAACAGTACTAAGATTAGGTAGTACTAAATTATGTTTGAAATCACTAGATACAGCTAATAATCCTATTATTAAAAAACGACAACACAGGTAATATCTGAATTTCATTGTTTGTCCCATTGAGTTAAATTGATTGTTGGAATTTGGTCACTTTATAACAATTTGACTTTGAATATTGAAAAACTTACCTGTTTTACGATGGTTTAAACCTAACTCTGCTTCCCAATGATAGGAAGAGCTGGAATTTTTTACCATGTACATCATATGTTAATAATGGGAATTTTTATCAGTAATAGTGTTCACAGTTTACTGTCTAAATTTGAGCCTTCAAAGACATGTGTGTCCAGAATTATCTGCTATATTGAATGTTAAAATGACGCAATTTAATATACTCTGTAATAGAAAATACATATGTAGAAATAATGAGTAAAATTCCCAGTTTGAAGTATTTTTTAAGGAATTTTGCAATTTTCGTTCATTTCTAGTATTTCTGAAGACTTTACATATATTCAAGACTAAAAGCAACCCCCAAAAATAGCGCATCTGTCCCTTTAAATCCTTCATAATTATTTTGCTAATTTCAGGTCCACAGTTGAACAGGAACAACAAAACACAGGAGAAGAACCACCTGAGAAATCTACCCTCACAAATAAAGTTAGGTAAATTAATCATTATAATCACACCTTGATAATGTATTTGCATTGTTAAATCTTTCGTGTGGATATTCACATTGTAAAATCATTTTATGTGTAATCCTTTCACCATAACATTAAATTTTTAGAAATATTTCAACATTGAAATCCTTTGTAAAGAATTTGTATTATATTATTCTGTTGATGAATTAATATTCCATTGATTAGTGTTGTTTACCTTCTGCCATCAATTTTATGTAGTAAATTTTCTGTATATATATTATTTCTGTTATATTTTCAGTTGATAAGTAAAAGTAGAAGATCTTTGTTTAATCAAGATATATAAAAAACATTATAATAAGATAATCCAGGGATTAAAATTTGAGTTTTTTTTAATGTTGTATTTTCTCATCTTTTTTTTTTTTTCAAGAATATTTTTTTATAGATTTTAATTCTAATAGAGGTTTAAAGAAAGGTGCTATCACTCTAGATCATTACCCTAATCCACAAATCTTTTATTATACTTAGCTGAGATTTTACTCAAATTTAAAGATGCATTACTGATTGTTTCAAAGAATAAAATATTATTCTATTATTCTTAAGGCATAATGTTTCTGGCATTACATTTATCTTCAAATTCTTTCCTGTCTTGATACGTGGGCATTATGAATTTGAGTAAAACTAAGATGAGCATAAGACATGTAATTTTAAGAACACAAACATTCAGATTGTGTCATCGATTTTGCCAGGTGTGGCTGGGTCTTCCATTTTAGCATCTTTGAGAACCTTCGACCATCATTTTTCAGTTACAACATGACATATTGTCTGTTCATCTGGGGAAAATTCAAAGAAATTTTGTCCAGTCTATTATGAGCACTGACAGTTTTGGTTAAAAAAAACGCATTATACTCGCAAATATACAGTATTGCTCAACCATTTGTTAATTTTTTATATGGGATTCGTAGTATCTGGCTAACCATTTCTGATCAAATTTCTATCAGATTTATATCAATATATTTGTAATACCATTTTTTTCCCTAATTTTTTAAACCTAATTAATTAAATAGTACACATTAATAAAGGAGAGCTATATTTCTTGTCACTATTGAATTTTAGAAATATACTGAAAATAACAACAATATTAAAATTTGTGCTAACACTAATACTATTTATAAAAAAAAAATTTTAAAGAGAAAAATAGACAGCTTTATATTGTTTGTTGCTCTTTCTTATTTTTATTTTAACATTTTTATTTGAATAAGGATTTGAAAACCAAGTTTTTATTTATCAAAGGAAATGTGTTCTGTTTTCTTATGTTTTGAAAGGTCCCATAGATATTATTTAGGTTTTTATACGCCCACATGAATATGTGGTCGTATATTGTCGTCTCCCCTGTCCGTCGGTGCGTCCGTCAACATTTCTTGTGAGCACTATAGAGACTACAGTTTTTATCTGATTTTGATCAAACTTGGTGTGATGCTTTAGATTGATAAAATCTCGGTCAAGTTCGAATTTGACATATTTTCGATGAACGGTTTTTGAGATATTGCCCTTGACTTAGAACACCTTGAAATTTGTTAAAAATTGTTCGTGAGCAGGATTGAAGCTACAGTTTTCATCCGATTCTGATGAAACTTGGTGTGATCATTGGAATTCATAAGATCTCGGACAAGTTCTAACTTGACGCATTTTCGATGAACGGTTTTTGAGTTATTGCCCTTGACTTTGTTAAAACGCGTCAAAATTTGTTAAAAATAGTTCGTGAGCAGGATTGAAGCTACAGTTTTCAACCGATTCTGATGAAACTTGGTGTGATCATTGGAATTGATAAGATCTCGGACAAGTTCTAACTTGATGCATTTTCGATGAACGGTTTTCGAGTTATTGCCCTTGACTTTGTAAAAACGCGTCAAAATTTGTTCGTGAGCACAATAGAAGCTACAGTTTTCAACCGATTCTGATGAAACTTGGTGTGATCATTGGAATTGATAAGATCTCAGACAAGTTCTAACAAGAGATATTTTTGATGAACATTGTTTGTGTTATTGCCCTTGACTTTGTAAACACGCGTCAAAAGTTGTTTTTTGCCCTTGATTAGAGCTGTGTGATTTAATTGTTTGTTGTATTTGGGTTATTGATATTGATTTTAAAAAATTTTGTGGAATTATTCAGCATAAATAATTTCTTCAATATGAGAAAATTCGTACTTTAGTCACTAAAGACTGTTTTATTATTTCTGACAGCTGCCAGTGGGCGTATGTTACCTTGCAACGCAAGCTATCTTTGTAAACTTTTATATTATTTTGAAATACACAAATTGTTATCATAAAATTGGCAAAATGTTATATTAAAGTCAGCAGACTGTTATCCTGATTCAGCAAATTGTTACCTTAAAATCGGCAAATTGTTTAATTAGCGCAGCAATTTGTGAAATAACAGCAGAAAATTGTTAAGTTTATTATCAAATGGTTAATTTAAAACAGAAAATTGTTAATTTGAATCAGCATATTGTTAATTTGGATTAGCAAAACTTGAATCAGTCATCTGTTAACTTGGATCAACAAATTGTTAATTTGGATCAGCAAATTGTTAACTTGGATCAGCAAATTTTAAACTTAGAGCAGCGAACTGTCAAGTTTCAACAAAAAAGTTGTTTACTCGAACAGCAAATTGTTAAATCAGAACAGAAAATTGTTAATTTGGGTCACCGATTGTTAACTTGGGTTAGCAAATTGTTAACTTGTGTTAGCAAATTGTTAACTTGAGTCAGCAAATTGTTACAAATGATAAGAAAATTTCTATATAATTGATTCGATTCTTATCCTACATATTTTATATGGATTTATCATTAGAAGGTTGGATTATCTCGCTATAGTTTTTTTTAATATGGAAGATATTCATATACCTTCAGATTTTAGTACTTAAAATGTTTTTTTTTTGATGATGCAAACCTCTGAATATTTGCTTAAGCAGCTGAGAGAAAATAAAGAGATATCTATCTGTATTTACTCTACAAAATGAAAGTTATACCTTATACCAAATGGAATATTACTGTTAAAGGGATTGTAAAGTATTTTTATGTGTATCTCGAACACTGATAGCATCAATTTGCACTATTCAAATTTTCAATCAGACGTCTGTGGTTCCTGCAATTCCATTACAACTAAGTGATTTTATGACGCAAAAAATCTCTTGTATCACACAAGGCCCTTCATGATTAGTGGCAGTAATCACAGATGTCTGATTGAAAATTAATATGGTATCAATTGATGCTATCAGTGTCCGCAATACGTGCAAAAAATCTAAAAAAAAAAAAACTCTTTACAGTCCCTTTAAGTAGATCTATGTAGAATCTTTAACTCGTTTTCGGGGAAATTTCATTTTGAAAAGTGAATTGATTGACATATCTTAAACTATATTTTTTTTTCAGTGATCTAAGCAATCAATTAAAGTGGTGCATCTATTTAATATTTAATATTTTGATATGATATTTTGTTATTATTATGTTATGTATTATCATTCTTTTAATAAAATTATATTTGCTAATAGTTTTAGTCAAATCGCTGGACCAACTTCAAACTTTTACCGCTGATGTATAAGACTGTCAACAAAATAGCCCCATGTTATCTCCAATATTTACTGTCATTTTACATGACAAAACGTTGAGATCTGAAGGCAAGATGTCCCTCTATACAACCTGAAAAAAAATGGCTCTTGTACTTTTCGAAACAGTGCGTCAGTAATTTGGAATACATTACCGGAATCAATTCGACAATGTAAATCTGTGTCTGCATTTAAATCTAAAGTGAAAACTTGGTTGTTTGGTTACTATCATTAACCCACCAATTGAGAACACTGTCTTGCGCCTTGAGGAATTCTGCGAAATGTCTATATCGTTATTATTATTATTTACTGTACTAATTCAGAATTTCGGACAACAAAAAGAATTTTAATGACGTACCAATCATTCAATATACTAGTCTGAACTTTCAACTACTAACTATCTAAATAAATACACACACAAACAAAAACATCGTCTCAAAATAGATAACAAAAGAATGCGGGTTTGAGTGTCACCTGCGTTGATTGAGATGCATTCTGTAAAGTCAGGGCATTAATAAATAGGAGTTACTGGTTTTGGAGTTGTATCAATGCACAAATGACAGAGTACAAAACCTTTGGGTAATATGGATATATGGATAATATCTACTGTTGCTAAAGGAATATGGTCTTAGATATAATATATAGGCTGAAGGCTGAATGTATAAGACATATACAGGAAATATTTTAAACAGACCACACTAGAGTGATATATCTCCCCTTTGGCCATTTACACATCTTTAGAAGTTTCAGTCTCACATACAGAAGATTTTTCAAGGTAGGAACTTGAAATTTGGAACATAACAACTTCAGATCGGCGCACACACGCGGTTCAGTTTACAATTTTTCGAAAGACAGCCTGTTAATTTTTTTATCCTCTATACTCCTGGAGACCGAAACAGCTAATTCAGCGTAGCATCAGATGCTTTGACACGTCGAGCATGAATTGCCTTTTAGTGTTTAACTCTTGCTCATTTCAGAAGACTCGAACTCTAGCGTTCATGATCGGCACACTTAGGTGGTAATTTCGGGGACAATCCCAGCCCATGTCTGTAAAAGGGCTTGTGTTGAAGTGGAAATTTAGCAGACTATAATGCTCAAAACACATCCGGAAGACGTTGGCTTCAAGGGGGCCTCTTGCAACCTCCTGACCCTTGGCTTTAAGACACTTTTCATTTCTGAATAAAAATCCCCCCCCCCCCCCGCTTCACAAGGCATATTTTACACACGCCCCTGCTAGTGTTGTAAAATAGCAATAAATATGCTAATGAAGTGCACGTGTTGTGAATAAAGGAATTAGTAAGAATAATAAGATTATTCTCATCACAATCATTCTTTTTCTGATCAATTGATTTATAATCAACTGTGTACACGATTTACTGACTGACAAATAGAATTTTTCTTATAACTCTAGCAATACACATTCTCCTTTTAAATTGAGTTTTCTCTAATTATTTTGTCTCAGAATTCACACGAGTTTGTACTACAGATCAGGGTCTCCGATAAAAAATCCTAATCAGAGGGCTAATATCTCAAATAATCTTCACATGTACTTTAAACATAATGTGCTATTTCTCAAATAAATTCTTCACTTATTACACATTTTTATTGTAATTCTTTTTGGGACAGCAGTCTGGGCAACTGAACTGGTATAAGGTTGGCTAAGGTAAGAACAAACCCATTTATAAGAGGTAACCGACTGATA